CTAGAGGCCATTTTTGTTCTATTCTGGCTAAGAAATTATAAACATTTTTCCCATGTGCTAAGATTATTTGTAAGACTGATTATAAAAGTGATGGACTTCTTAATCTGGCGAAGAAATTCCTAGGCAGCATAGCAGTCAGGTGGTGGTATGGGTATTGCTAGCAACTTTTAGCCAAGTTTCTTGTGATATTCAGGAGCAGAAAGAAGACCAGAAATATTTGAAAACCTTAGAGTTGAAAATTGGAAATAAAATAAGAGCTAAGGAAGTTTCAGATGTTAAAGACCTTACTGTCACAGAAGAAACACTAAATACTAAACAGCTAGAGACAATAAAAAAGATGGCTTGAGGGCATCTCAGGACTTGAGACCACACCCAAATCAGGCTCATGGAAGTAAATGTTCCTTGAGAAGAGACCATGGGAAGTGGGGGCAGGGGACCCTGCTTGCAAATGGCAGCCTAGGAAGTTGTTTCACCATGCTCAGCCACACCAGCACTCAGAAGCTTCCTCAGCCAGGTTCCCTGGAGGCTTGGCTGTTGCCCTAAATGGTGGCAGACCTTGGCATCAAGCACATAGTGCTCTTTCTGCAGGAATGCATATGCTAGAATTAGAGTGTCATGGAGTCTTCCACTGATATTTCAATGGAAGGCCAGGGAGGAGGCAAACTGCCCCAGGATTGAAGTCCTTGTGAGCAGTCCCTGGGAGGGTAATGCTTGGACATGTGAGGAGAACGCTAAAGCTGCAATGGAGACCCCCAGATTAAGAAATGCCAGTAACATGGGACATTGTCCTAGGAAAGCTGCAGGAATCGAGCAGAGACACACCAAGAGAAAGGCTACTTGGGCTACAACCAACAAGACTGCAGGGGTGGAGCTACAAAAGCTTTTGGACAAAACATCACCATGCCATGTGCCCCATATGCCTAATGTGAAGCTACAGGACTTATTTTACCCAGATGGATTTTGGTCTTGCTTTGGCCTTATCCTTTCTATTCCCCTATTTTTCTGAATGGAAATGTTTACTTTGTACATTTTTATATTGGATACTTATAAATTGCTTTTGATTTTTACCTGAGCTCACTATGCAAAGTTTGCCTTGAGGCTCAGGGAAGACTTTGTACTTGAACTTTTAGGCAATCTTGGAACTGTTGAGACTATGGGGATCTTGGAAATGGACTTAATATGTATTTTGCATTGTGAGATGAGCATGAACTTTTGGGATCCAGGGGTGGAATGTTAAGGTTTAGATATTAGGTGTCCCCCAAAAGCTCATGTGTGAGTCAATGTGAGAACATTCAGAGATGAAATGATTGGGTTATGAGAGGCTTAACCCTATCAGTGAATGGGGATTGACTAAGTGGTTAACTGAAGGCAGGTAAGGTGGTCACTAGGGGCATGCCTTTGGGTTATGTATCTGGCGAGTGGAATCTCTATCTGCTTCTTGATCATGTGAACCTCTTCCTACCACCATGTTCTTCCACCATGATGTTCAGCATCACTTTGAGCCCTGAGGAATGGAGGGGGATGTTATGGATTGAGACCTCTGAAACCATGAGCCCCCAAATAAAGTTTCCTCCTCTAAAATTGTTCTTGTCAGGTCTTTAATCACAGCAGGGAAAAGATGCAAATACTGACCACCTGAAGTGACTCCTAGAATTTGTATCTGCTCTTTGCCTTTGTTCTCAATCAGCCTCTAAACCCCTGTGCCTGCCTAACCCTTTCTTAACTTTCTTTCTGTATATATAATGTATAATATTATATGTAATATATATTACAATTCACATGTATCATTATATTAAATAACAGAAAGTTTTACAGTTTCTTATATAGTTGAAACTCCCTTCTTGTGTGATCCAATAATTATGCTGCTAGGTAACTATATAAAAAAACCAAAACAACAAAAAAATGTTCATATAGAGAATTATACATAAGTAATATATATGCTTACATATACATACATATGAAGCTGTGTAAAGTATGATGTGTGTCTGGAGTGTCTTATATATTAGAAATTAAGATTAGAGTAAAAAAATTGTGTTTGCCTGCTTATGACTACCAGGTGACTCACAAGCACTCAGTGAACTGCCATTGATGCAAGTAGTGTAGCATGCAAGTTGTTATTCAATAAATTCTGTCATTGTAGAAAGACAAAAGCATTTTTGGTCTATATTAATGAATAACTCACAACAGTGACTTAGCTTTTAATTTCCTTTAAAAATATCTTCAAAAAAGCAATAGTTTTGATGAAGTCTTAAAAATCTTGATAAAGTCTTATCTTCACCTGATCCAAGTCACAAAAATATTCTCCTGTGTTATTTTTTTTAGAAGTTTAAGAACTTTAATTTTTATATTTAGGTCTATTATCCATTTCAAATTAAAATGTGAAAAATGTTTGAACAGACGATTCATACTCATATATTGTTGGTGAGACTGCAAATTAGTATAACCACTCCAGAAAGCAGTATGGAGAGTCCTCAAAAAACTAGAAATGGAGCCACCACTGTATACTATAGTGATACAAGCTTAGCAATGTTTATAGCAGCACAACTCACAATAGCCAAGTTATGAAACCAGCCCCAGTGCCTATCAGCATTTTTTTCCCTTAATCCCAAACCACATGGATGGTACCTTTAAAAATTCAGTTAAGGGCTGGGGCTTAGTAGTAGCACACTCGTCTGGCATGTATGAGGCGCTGGGTTTGATCCTCAGCACCACATAAAAATAAATAAGGTATTTTAAAAATTCAGTTAAGATTTTAAAGTTTGGACTGTTTGCAATGATTTCCTTGATAAAGTATACTTGCTGTATTATTCGTATATATTTAAATTGGAAATAGCAGGACTCATGATACTACACAGAATGGAAGTAACATTGCTTATAGTTTTTAACTAAATGAGTATTATTTAAACAAATTATTATTCAATATTCCTGTATTAAGTTCATATAATTTATTTCTGAACATCTCCATTCAGTCACTTTAGATTTAACATCTCACTGATGCTTTAAAATAGGGATCCCACGTAATCAGTGTCCTGAGTCAAATGACTGACATGTAAAGAGAGTAATAAAACAGACCTCTGCTCTCATCAGTATCTCTACTAGCAATCCAATCTTTTTGTTCCAGCTCCCGTTATCTTCACTCTGAGTACTGTTTAAGCTGTATTCTCACAGTGTGTCTATACATGTAGTACATTCGTGTATATATGTAGGTATATATATGTGTGTGCATCTGTGAGTGACTGCATGAATGTCTGTGTGTTGAGCAGCACACAGTAATTGAGAGCATGAACATATAAGATTCATGTTTTGATCCTCATTATGGTACTTCTAGAGTATGATGATCAGTAGGATACTGAAGTCTTCTGGCCTTAGAACTATAAAATGGGGTAATCTAAATTATAGGGTTTTGACTATCTTTGGCACATTATTACATAATAGAACTTCAATAACAGGGAGCTAATTTTTTTTTCTGAACGTAAAATTTTTTTCTGAACTCATCCTTATTTTTGATTGTTTGAAAAGAGTGAGAGATATTCCTAAAATGTCACAATAAATGTCAAATAAGTATTTTTTGAATTGAATGCCTGGATTACATTTCGAGAGGAAAAGAAAACCATTAGCAACTAAAAGCATTGATTGTGCAATCACTAATGACTACATAAATATCTTCCATGAAGAACTCCCAAATTTTGTAATATATTTAAGCCTACAATTGTTTTCTATTTCTTCTATTGGATGAAATACTGAAAAAATTGAATCATCTGAGCATCCAAATTTTATTTCCCATGGAAATTAATAAAGGAATAAAGTTTCTCCATTTCAAAAAGAGATTCATTCTGTAATTATTCACATTAGCAAAGAAAAAAATGAGTTTCATTTCTTGCTAAAATAATGTACTAAGCTATGCAAGTCACCCTTTGTTTTTAAAACATTAATATTAGTGAAGTGTAAAGAAACTCAGTCTTATTTCATAAACAAATGGGAAAGCTTTCTGAAACAAGGTATTTCTTTTAGGCCATTTAATGTGCTGAAGAAGAGGATGAGGCAAGAAGAGTGGTCAATGATAATGGTCTAGAAAACAGAACTCAGCTGCAATTGTGGGAAACAACTTAGTAACAAAACTCTAATATGCCCATTAGTCCATTTTTAAAAGGGAAAATCATGTTTTATCTACAAAATATAATTGATTATTGATCTCAAAAAATGATATTTCAAATAGTAGTCACAGATGCAAGAGTGGACCATAGAACCATAGAGCTATGGGTCTATCAATGATATAACTTCAGAGCTGAGAGATCATTTGAGGGAAATATATGCTTCTATTGAACAATAGTTTGATAATGTTGACAAATTCAAACTGATATAACACCTTTTTTCCAAATAGCAATAGTGGCTTTGTATAAGATTTTTGAATAAAAATACTGTATGGTCACAAGTGTTTTATTGAGGTGTAAAAGCATAATGTTAATCATGTTTAGAACTCTTTCAAATATGGAAAACTCTATAATCATATTACAGACCATAGTTGAGAACCACAATTGTATCCTATAAGAAATCAGCAAAAAGATATGTAAACCAAAATTATGTACCCAATTTTAAAATAACTAGTAGCTTTTAATTTATAATATATCCTTATTAACATTTCAATATGTATATAGTCTAGTGATGTCAGCTCTTGCATCCTTTGTATTTGTAAAATATATCTTAGTTTCCTTTAACAGGACTGTTAAATGTTTTAAGTAATAAATTATTCTACTTTTGTTCATCTCTATTCTTCCCTGCCTTTATCTTTGTAATTTTCTTCCTTTTGATTCGTTTGTGGTTTAATTCACTTTTCATTTTCTAGTGTCTGAAAATGGAAGCTGAGACCACTGTTTTGTGACTATTCATTTTTCCAATATAAGCAATTTAGACTATGAAGTTTGCTATAAACACTACTTTATCTGCATCACCAAATCTTAGATGTTTTCTATTTATTCTCTTTCAACAACTTCTTGATTTACCTTTTTATTTCTTCTTTGACTTTTTCTTGTTAGCAATGTGTTGTGTAATCCTTAATCAGGATTTTTCAGACATTTTTGTTGTTTTCCATGTAGTCCCACTGTAGTAAAAGAAGACAGTTGTAAATTTTCAGTCCTTTAAATTCATTGAAAATGTTTTTCTGGCCTACAAGATGACCTTTCCACTTGAATGTCCTATAAGCGGTAAAGATGACTATTCTACTTTGAGGTGAAATGCTTGATAGTTGGCAATTATGTCTAGCTAATTAAAACCGCTCAAGTCTTCTGTATTCTAACTATAATTTTCTCACCACTTTTACTATTATTCAGAAAGTATAGAAATCATTAGCTCTAAGTATGTATTTGGATTTTTTTTGTTTCAAGTCCATTGGTTCTTGGTTATGCAAATTGAAGCTTTGATATTAAATGCTCCAGAATTAAGTCCCCTTGCATGTGTTTATGAGCATCTGTACCTTTCTCATTGCCAACAGACTCATGAGAAGTTTCTGAATTAGATCAGATCCTAGGAAAGATTCAAGCTCCATTATCTGCCAGAATTATGATGAGAAGCAAGTCCATAACTTCTCTTGGCCTCAGATTAGACATTGACAAAAGGAGAATAGTGTGCTTTCTCTCATATTATAGTTTGGGGACATAAATTTAATTTTAAAAAATCTGTGATGCACCCTCTATAGGGTCCAAAAATGTGAAAGGCAGTCATTAATGGCTCTCCTTAGAGCAACCACCTCCCTTTGTTAATGAGCTTTGTGAAAAGCAGGATTAATTATAGGATTATATAGAATTAATGCCTAGACTTGAAACATAATTTATTTCCTCTTGCTCCTATCTTCCTAGTCTCCTCTTACAAAGTACTTCTTCATCAGGCCACAAAGATTAAGACATAAAAAGGTTCTTGTTACTCTTAGAGCAGAGGGAAATTTTCAACTCTTGTCTTTTGTGCATACTGTTCTCCCTGAAACAAATGTTCAGCTATCTTTATTCACCTGGTAAACTCCTACTAATCCTTCAAATCCAGGCAAACTGTAAAGTCTTAATTAATTCTCCTGCAGTGGTGAGAGAATGACTATTCTTATCTGTGATCCACCCACCATCCTTTATGCTTATTCATTACTCTTATATGTTAACACTAGAGTCTGTTTATAACTCTGTATCAGACAACAATCATTTTGATGGCAGAAGAGACCATCTGTTTCATCTTTGTATCCCCAGAAAATATCATTTATTAATTAACTACTGAATGAAAAGTACCTTCATGTTTTATAATATAAACAGAGTTAGTGGGTATTTGTATGAATCTATCCTTGTTGTTGGCATAAATATGGAAAAAGAAGTATAAAATGCACCAAAACAGGGAAGAAAGATTTAGAATTTCTCAATTATTGGTGGTTGTATAATCTTGAACCCAATTTTTTCATCTTTAAAATGAAATAATTTTTTAAACACAAGAGAAATTATAATTGTGAATATCTAAAAACCTTACAGTCAGGGGGTGGGGCTGGGGTTCTGGCTCAGTGGTAGAGTGCTCGCCTAGCACATTCGAGGCCCTGAGTTCAATCCTCAGTACCACATAAAATAAATAAATCAAAGGTATTGTGTCCATGTACAACTAAAAAAAAATTAAAAAATAAAAACCTTACAGTTGGTTTTAAGACAGCCCTTTGATTTTATGAAATTCCTAAGATTTGTACTGAATTTAGCTGGAGTTTATGATCCATATATACCTGGGAAAATGCAAATGATATCTATAACATGAGAATGATATGAGACACTATAAAATGCATCTGAAGAATGGAGTTGTCTTTGTTTTCTAAAAAATAAGACAAGAAAGATAGTTGTCAGCTGAAGGCATTAGGGGAGCCAACGCAGAGGAGATTTAACTAGAATAGGCAAGACTCAAAAACACAGAGAAAAGACTAATTATGTACTTGTGTGGCTTCAGGTACTGGAGCAGGGGTGCCTACAAGGCATCCATTAGACAGTTTCAAAAGGTGCCTGCTGGTTCAATTTGTATACAATGATGGGAAATGAAAGATAGTTATAGGTGCAAAATGTCAGCAGTGACAGTTGTCAACATTGTGCAATCTGAAATGTGGTCAGAGAATGGCTTAAATCAGTATGTAGAGATCCCAACTGGTGGGGTTGCACAGTAGCACCATGGGATGGGCTCCAGAGCACCACCCTGTTCCTAACAGAAAGTCTCCCTTCCACCAACCCTATCCTTTGAAGGCAGTTTCTGTTTCTTGACTATATTAATTTTATATTGTGCAAGTCAGTGATTCTTTTTCTCTTTTCTCTAAGGAGTTCTGCAATCTATTCTTAGTAATTCTGGATTTGTTGAATAATTTAGTCATATACATTATAAGCCAGAGTTGCCTTTACAGAAATGTCAGTATTAATGTAATGTTTTTTCATCACCAAATAAAAATGAAATAGGCATTAGAGTCACACACTGTACCCAGATATGAGAAAAAAATTGTAAATAATTTTGATTAAAACTAAATCTTCCATTAACAATCATTCCCCAGCCACTGATTCATGGGCAACATCCTCAATCCTTCTCATTATGGGTAGGTTCTTCCTCAGGGTCACTGATCTCTTCATATGCCAAAAGATTCTTCCTTTCCCAAAACCTGTGGCTCTAGATACTCACAATCTTCATCCTGGATCCTGAAACTTTCTCACTTTGATTCCAAAAAGTACTTGGTTTTCTCAGGGGGTATAGCCTGTTCCCAGTCAATTGTTTCTGGACTTCTTTCGGATCATTTTCTTCCCTTGCTGGCTTCTTGGGCATCTTCTGGCGTTTTCTCTGTTGTATGCCAGAAGCACTCTCAAGGGATTCATCCTGACTCCCACAGTTGTGACACTCATCAGAATCACTGCTCAGGGATTCTATAATCTGCCTGTTAGAACTCATGAAAACACTAAGGGTGGCTCTGAGACTAAGCAATGGTGAAGGGCTCCTTTTAAAATATTAATACAAAACTGACTAGTCCATCCTCTTTCTGTACAAAGATGACTAGAAAGGCCCACTTTCTTCTGGAACCTGATATCTTTCAAGAATTGATAATAGGGACAAATGCCCATGCCCACAGAAATTCTCACTTGGAAATCTCCCTAACTTCTCTGTTGGGACTTAAAGTACTGGCTCTCTCTCTATTTAAATTAATTCACTGTTATAAAAGGAAAATGATTTATGATTTACCAAACTTTTGTGTACAGATATTATATATTTCAGTTCGTGGTGGAAATAATAACTGTAAGAACTCTATTCACTAATTGGTTCTGTACTAAGTCTTTGATGTGTGTTATTTCATTGTAGGATCCACTCACAAGTAATTCCCACTTGCCTACATCTTCACAGCTACAAGTCCCTCACTTACACAAGCTCTTTACACACGATATTTCCTAATGCTATAGATCTCTCTTCTTCTCCTCACTCTCCCTCATTGCCTAATGCATTCTTTGTGTTTCACTTGCAACATCATGGCTTCATGTTACATCCACATATTATACCAACACATAGAAACTGAGAGCCTTTCCTTTGTAGTTTTTATCAAATTGTTCATCACTTTCAAAGTTCATCTTCCCTATTATCTAATTCCTACTACAAGTCTTTCACAGTTGCGAACATTCAGCTCATCTGGACGTTTTAAAGAAAAAAAAAAACAGTCGGGAGCTACAATAGACAAGGAAAATCATAAATGGGTAAATAAGCACGTAGTCATACGTTTGCATAATAACGATCCAATAACCCGAGGAGTGCTTTTCCAATTGCACTTCTCTCTGTAAATCCCTGTCCACACAGGGCGCAATAAGTTGAATGAATCCCCAATGCAGTATTAGGATACCTGTATGTGTTCAGAAAGCACGAACCACTCGGTTGACACAAACGTCAATCCCACTCCACTAACCTAGAGCCTCTGAGAAAAGAGAACAATCGTTCATCTGTGTACTTAGAAGTAAATCCTCTTATTACCCGAGTACAGCTTCAGGGATCAAGTTGTGGTGGCCATTTCCACCCAGCTGGTAGGTACTGCTGATCACAGGGCAAGTCGACAACGAAGAAAATAACTTTAGGATCTATCTGTGTTGCCCAGACTGCCACAGCCCTCACCTTCTGCCTCCACTGGTCGTCCCCGGTCCTTAGCGGGCTAACGGTCTCCTCGCGACGTCAAGAGAGACGTTAACGTCCGGCCGCTGTGGACTCTGGGAAATGTCCGTTCCCCACCCACCCACCCCCCATGAGCCAGCCACCCCCAAGATGGAGTCCTTTTACTTCTGAGCGTGGGCTTGGCCGGTCTTGAGACCGCACTTGGGAAGCATGGAGGAGGGAGCCTGCACTCCAATCATCCCAGCAGGCCGTACTGTCTCTTAAAGTAGATTTCTCCAAGGGGACTTGCGGGTTGGGGCTGCCTCCTTGGGCATCCCTGCAAACGACATCTTCCTGATTCTTCAGAAGGCCATAGGCCACGAAGCCCTGAGCTTGTGCCTGGGTTCTAGGATGGCCTCAGCATGAACATTCTGGTCCTGTCGTTTCCCTTGAAAGCAGGCGATAAAGAGACCAAACTATATGATCCTCTGTTGAAGCAAGAAGATAAAACTGGATGGTAGAGGAAAAAAGTGGAAAGGCGGTCATGTTAGAAGAAGCCTGAGAAGATGAGGAGCAGACAGAGAAGCAACAAGACTTGGGAGACAAGTGGTAGCCATCAAACTACAGATTGAGGGAAAAAAAGGATGTGAATATAAGAAAATTGGAAAAATTTTCTTTGTTTGCTCACAGGCTTTACTTCTTTCAAGGCAATACGTTTTTTAAGTTTTGAGTTTGAAACAATTTAGACAACCATGAGGGAAGGTATATAGTAGAATCACCAGTTTTACTAGCTTGGAAGTCCTCTACCACTGCTATTTCTTATGGTAATAGCCCCTGTAAGTGTAAATGAGTATGGAAATACTTTCATTATAAAAAAAAAGTGTGTCCCAATGATAGCAGAGCATTCATACTGGAGAAGAACCTTATGAACTTTACTGAATGTGGGAAAACTTTTACCCAGGTCACATTTCATTGAACATAGAAATCATGCTAAAGGGAAACCCTGTGCTTCTAATGAATATTGAAAAGCTTTAGATAATAGATCTCATCAAGCAACAGAAAATTCGTGCTGGAGAGAAACTAGGGAAGGTAGCAAAATATCTTTGAATATTAGAAAATTTGTACTGGAAAGAACTTTGAATGAGTATGAAAAAATTTTCTCACAAACCTTATCCCTTCTTCTACATTTGAGAGGTTATACAGAGAAATCTTAGAAATGTGGAAATAGTTTCAGCCAAAAGTAAATCCTCCTTTATCAAAAAATTTATACCAGAGAGAATGTAGGAAAGCTTCCACTCAGATATCACACCTCAGTATGCAGAGAATTTCTAGTGGGGAGAGCTCCTTTGCCTGTAAGATATATGGTAAAGTCTTCAGCCACAAATCCAATATCACTGAGCATGAGCAGTTTCATAATAGAAAGAAAGCTTTTGAATGTAACAAATGTGGGAAGGCCTTTAGTCAAAAGCAATATGTCATTAAACATCAGAATATCATACTGGAGGAGCTGGGGTTGTGGCTCAGTGGTAGAGCGCTCGCCTAGCATGCAAGAGGCACTGAGTTCAATCCTCAGCACCACATAAATGTAAAATAAAGATATTGTGTCCACCTAAAACTTAAGAATAAATTTTTTAAAAATATCATACTGGAGAGAAGCTTTTTGAATGTAATGATTGTGGAAAATCCTTTAGCCAAAAGGAAAACTTCCTTACCCATCAGAAAATTCACACTGAAGAGAAACTTTTAGTGCAGACATTGTGGGGAAGCTTTCATTCAGAAGACCAACTTCATCAGACACCAGAGAACTCACATGGGAGAGAAGCCCTTTATATGTAAGGACTGTGGGAAAAACTTAATGAGAAATCAAGTCCTATTGAGCATGAGAAAATTTACACTGGAGAGAAACCCTTTAAATGAATGAGTGTGGAACAGCTTCTGGCAGAAGAAGTACCTCATAAAGCATTAAAATGTTTATACTGGAGAGAAACCCTATGAATGTAATGAATGTGGAAAAGACTTCTCTTAAGGAACATCACTTATTGTGCATGTGAGAATTCATTCAGGTGACTTTATGAATGCGTGTATGTGGAAAAGCCTTCTCAGAGTTCATCTCTCACTGTACATGTGAGAGGCCATACAGGTGAGAAACCTTATGGATGTAATGAATGTGGAAAAGCTTTCTCTCAATTCTCAACGCTAGCTCTGCATTTGAAAATTCATACAGGTAAGAAGCCTTATCAATGCAGTGAATGTGGGAAAGCTCTCAATCAGAAGTCACACCATATTAGACACCAGAAAATTCATACTCATTAAAAATCTCTCAACATGGGAACAGATACATCAGACATTTATATCTCACAGTGCATCAGAAAGTCGTTCTGAAGCAATGCACTACAAGTGAGGTAAACTTACACAAATGCTAACAACTTTCAAGACACAGAGAAATAAATGATTCATCTACAAAAGAGGAAGACATTTGTATGATAAATAGACTCTGCCGACAACAAAAACCTTACAGTCCATGGTAAAAGTAATGCTGAAACTATAGGTGTATTTCCACTAAAATTGGAACAGAAAACAGACCTGTTACTCCATCAACATAGATGTGAAGTTTTTCACCAGTGTAATAGAAAAATAAGTTGTGTTAGAAACGGAGAGACCAAAACAGATGGTGTGATTATCTATAATAAAAACTCTAGTGGCATTGATTCAGCAGAAGAGATTCTAGAAAGAGACCTATGCATTTAGTTGAACTTGCAATGTTAAAGAAATCATCCATGAGGAAATATGGGACTATTTTAAAAATTATTCAGAGGTCTTTTGTTCTCTGAAGGGGAAAATAAATAGGCCATGAACAAGTAAGCAAAATTCATGAGGATCGAAGACAAACATGAAAAAGCCATGTACTAAAATGATTGACCTTGAAAGTAGGGAAACAGTCCTTCATCTTAACAAATTTTAAAATATTTAGCAATTTTGTTTGTGAGTATATATGCTCAGGAGATAAGTACCAGGAAATTTACAGTGGCTTAATTTGAAGTAGCCAAATGTTAGAAACAACTTAAATGCCCATCAGGAACAAAACAAAAAGTTCTTATGATGGGATTCCTTACATCTGTAAAATATAACAAAGGAGATCCACATGTTATTAACAGAAGGATCTAAAAAATCACACTGAGGGGGAAAATGAAGTTGCAGAATGATTCATATAATAGTTAATATTACATATAATAGTTAATATTACATTTCTGGTGATTGATATGTGATTGTCCAAGTGACTTTTTGAAAATTTGAATTTGATTTATTTTAATAATTATTATTTTTTTTAAAGAGAGAGAGAGAATTTTTTTTAATATTTATTTATTTATTTTCCAGTTATCGGCGGACACAACATCTTTGTTTGTATGTGGTGCTGAGGATCGAACCCAGGCTGCACGCATGCCTCGCGAGTGAGCTACCGCTTGAGCCACATCCCCAGCCCAATAATTATTATTTTTATTTTAGCCCTTTCCTATTGCTAAAACCATTTTACTAATAGGAAATATCTGAACTAATCCCACCGAACCTAAACTTTTTGTAATTGCTTTTTTTTCCTGCGCTAGATTTTCTTCTTAACAATTTTTAAAGTTATAGATGGACACAAATACCTTTATTTAGTATTTTTTATGTGGTGCTGAGAAATGAACCCAGTACCTCATGCATGCTAGGCAAGCGCTCTACCACTGAGCCACAACCCCAACCCCCTGCACTAGATTTTTAATACTGCATTGGTTGAGCCAAACATCTAGCACTTCCAGAATGTTGGAACTTGCAAATGATTCTTAGATAAGGAAGGATCCTTAACAAGGAACTGAAGGATACAATGTAATGATTCTGATGATCCCTAGAAGCTCATCATAAATTTTAACGGAATGCTTGTATATTTGCTATGGCTCTAGAACACCAAGAGCTTCAAAACCACTGTCTAGTTTCAGTCAAGAACTCACGGAGTTACAAGTCACTTGACTATAATGTCAAATAAAAATAGCGCAAAATCTGAATGATACACCCTGACAGTCATGACTACCACATAAAATAAAATGCTATGTGAAGCCATTCAGTTATTATTTCTTCATGCCTTGTTTTCCTCAAGAGAAAGCTTAAAAAGTTCATGGTTTCAAAAGGGTCACTTTGGTCATATTCTATTGCAATTGTATTATTTAGAAGTTCTACTTTGATACTTTAACTGTTTATTCTCTACTCATCTATTAGTATTCTGTTCTCATTGTTTGCTATAAATTGTTATCTTTACTGTGTTATAAAAGCCAAAAAAAAAGTTAGAAATAAGTGGGAATAGTTAATATTACATTTCTGGTGATTGGTATGTGATTGTCCAAGTGATAGGCAATCACTTCCAGACAGATTAAGGAATTATAGTAGACCCACGTACAGTGGTGCATGCCTGTAATATCAGTGACTAGGGAGGCTAAGGCAGGAGGATCTCAAGTTCAAAGCCAGTCTCAGAAATTTAGCGAGAATTCAAGTAACTTAGTGAGATCCTGTCTCAAAATAAAAAATGAAAAAGGGCTGGGAATGTGGCTCAGTGGTTAAGTGCCTAGGTTCAATACAAAAAAAAAAAAAAAGAAAAGGAAGTAGAGATTTTTCTTAAATAAGAAAAACTCTTTTGAGTGGAAAGAGAGGGCCACATGCTTGCTTTGTTTCAAATGTTTCTGCCTAAGAAAAAAA